AGCTGCATGAAGAAAGAAGAAGACGAGAAGGGAAAATATTCATTCACCTCCGTCCTTATTCCTGCCTCGGAGTGCATATACTCAACATATAGATGTATGCTGAAGACGATATTATGCAGCACTGATGCATTGCTGAGACAACAGACTCGACTTGTATTTAATCAGCTGCACTGCCTGTGTGCAGAACACTTTTTAATGCACCGTAACCAGGGTTTGGTTGCTGGATCTGTGATTTCAGCAAAAACAAACAGCATTATGCAAATGCAATTTCAGCTGCTACGTGAGGGAGATGAGTGATGGAGTGAGATACCAGTGCTGAACAGACAGAGATAAACGGGGGGGGGGGGGCATGATATCATATCTGTGCCATATTTTGCACTAACCCCAGTGAGTCAGCACAGCCCACCCAGTGAGGATGTGTGGTCACACCTCGGACTCGGAGGACACGTCCCTCTCAAAATAGCACATTTGTAATGTCATGCAGACAAGGCTGCTACCACGGTGCCGACTGACCTGCAGATTTTTATTGCCCGACAACATGGCTGACCTTTGAGCCTCAACGGGGCCATCGTTGTGGATCACACGTGAATGCACCCAAAAATAAATAAAAAATGACTTCACTATGGCCCGTAACATGTGAACCAGCCTCTTAACACAGAAAAGCAACACAACTACAAATCCCATTACGTACTCAAAGACCATCTCAACAGTCATCATGCCCTTCATGTCAGCACAGAAGAAAAATGCCACAATGGCTTCAATCAGCCTCGACCAAAATTCCGAGTTCATTCTCCACCAGAGGCATTTTTATCTTTAATTAGAGGAGCGAGCAGCTGTCTACAACCTAAACCTGCTCACCACCATGATGGCAGGCCTGCTCTTAAACACTGACTTCAAATCCAGTCATATTCTTTCACTTCTGACAGAAAATTACTCCATTTTCCTTCATGATTAGACAATGCAGATGCAAAACTCTGCCTTCATTCGGAATGAAGTGTAACTGATTAATCGGAATCTACTTTCAATGTACAGTTTTTACAGTTTCTGTCTTGATTAAAACCCTGTGGGGTCAACATTTTAGAAAATATGCCCAACTGAAAAAAAAAGACTCTTGATACAACTTCTCACTTTGCTCTGCGTAAGAGTGCCTTTATTTCTGTGACCAGCTTTTTTCATCTTCAAGTGCACCTTCAGGCTCTCTGGACTTGCTACCTATGAAACTGACTCAGCACTTAGTCTCTTTTTCATTCTGATTAATCATTTAAGGAATTTTAAAAGGAAAAAATCACTAGTTACAGCTTTAAAATGTGATCTTCTTTCTGGTTTTCTATGATAACTGAAAAGCCAGGGTTTTGGACTGTTCATTGGACAAAACAAGACATTTGAAGACATCAGCATGGGTTCTGAGGACTTTTTTCACTTTTCTTTTTCTTACAGAAAACAATTGATCAAGAAGATAAGTGGTAGATTAGTTGCAGGCTTAGACTGGAGTGTCACAAAATGTGCTTCTCGTAGAGCCTTGCTTTTTAACTCCTCAAACCTCATGGATGCACCACCGGTAAAGTCATTACAAACTGTTGAAATCCAGAGATTAGTTTACATTACTGTAGACATCCCAAAGTTTTCTAAGATACCAAATGTTCAGGCTAACTTTTGAGAAAATGTTGTGTAAAATTATGCACAAAAGATCTACAATATCCACTTGATGACACTGTGCAGCCATCTTGGATTTGAACAGTTTGAACTTCACATAGCTTCAATGAGGAGCTGGAGCAAGCTGCTAAGGAATAAAAATGATAGTGTCAGACTGTGTGGAATATGATGATTTACCACTTTAGTTGAATCACAGTGAAACTGAATGTTGAGGGGTTAATGAAACTATGGTTCCAGATCTTTTTGGGCAAGGCACTGGGTCTGCAGTAACTTTTGCTTGGCCTCCACCAGGATGTAGATCTTCATTAGAGGAGACGGGGAAACTGATCACAGTAACCTTCACCTCTCTACCACCCTGTTCTTCACCAGTTTCATCCTCGCCTCTCTGTGTTGTTTCCCTGCTCAGCACTTTAATCTTAAAAGCGGCTGCCGCCCTGATGAGGAAGATCAAGGCAGCCCCGCACCGAGCACAGGTCACCAACTCCATCCTCGTGATCACGCTGCACGGTTATATCATTGATTTCTCTGAGATCAACCTCTGTTGTACCAAAGGGAGCTGGACATGAAGAAATGAGGTGGAGGAGGAGAACCCAACCTGTTATTTAAGTAACAGGAAGGATTTTCACAAGGTAACAACAACGTGTGGAACACAAGTCAAGGTCTTGGATGTATTGTGTTTTTTTGTTTTTGTTTAAACTTTTTGTCTAAATTTGTCCGTCGTGTCAGATCTGGCGGGGGGAGCTTTTCTGAGAAATGAGCGAGATGAATGCTCTCTCATAGCCACAGGGAGTTGCATGACGTCAGTCGCCATTCACTGTTTGTGCACAGTTTTGTGTTTTGTTACATGCACACATATACACTCGGATGTATGAAGCAGTGTTTTTTTCCAGATGAATGCTTGCATAGATGCCTAGTTCTTAAGTAAGATAACCCTTTGGAGCAAGGCAGAGGTGGATTACATGGCTGCTGAGCCCAGATTCACAGCCAGGGATCCAGTCAAAGTGGTGGGAGGGAAGAATGGAGGAGGGAGACAGAGTGAAAAAGATAGAGAGAGGGAGAGAAAGCGAGTGAGGGGTTTCTATTTCAAATCTCCCCAGACCCCCAAGGCACTTCCGTTCTGGCTGCATCCTCCACCAAAATAAATAATTGCCATCAAAGGAAAAGCTCTGACCATTCAGTGCTTTTCCTCATCACATACGCTGTCCTATTCATGTGCTAAAAACTCATTCAGTGCAGTTTCAAATGGCCACAAGACACACAGATTTGACAGGCTGCCAAATCAAAATTAACCAGACATCAACTTAAAAATTTGGCTCAATTAATAAAAAAAAACAAATATCCTTCCATTCCTACTGGCAATTTTTTTTATGCTCTTATATAACATCTCTATTATGTTGCTCCATGGAGAGGCTGCTTTGTAAAATTAATCTTTTCTCACTCCCTTCTCTGCAAAGACTGCCCTTAATGTTCCTCTGAATGCATCAAAAATCACACCAGCAAAACCTGCACTATAAATAGAGTGTGTTTAATGCAGCAGAGCTCCACTGAAGTGGTTAAAATTGCCGTCAGTTTCATGTGGGTTGCGGTTTGTCTGTCTGTCTGTCTGTCTGTCACGCGGATCAATAGGTGGTGCTCTTGCATGGGCTGTTGAACTTTTCCCCCAGTCCTCTCCAAGTCGCACGTTCATCTTTGTGCACCAGAGCTCAAGCCGTATTTTTTTTGTTGCATTGCTGTGTGACCAGACATTTATTATTAACAAATTGCTTACGTCATCTGACAAGTAGGGGGAAGATCATTTACGTAGACGGTGATGATGTGATTGGTCGCCGAATTAAAAGCCCCAAAAAACACCAAATGATGCCATTTGGAGAAGAAGAGGGTGTTTTTATTCATTTTGTTGGTAACTGCATGAAGAAGAGAGGGGGGATTGTCAACAAAATTACACCACCGAGGCTTGACAACGTGAAGCAGTCAGGAGCGCGCGGGCACACACACACACACACACACACACACACGCAGCTTTCCGCGCGCGCAGCCGGGGCTGTGCGTCCGAGTGCGCCAGTGAGTGTGTGTTTTGAATTCAAATGCAGCAACACACCAGAGCTGCAAATGCGGAGACTGAGAGGAGGATGGCGATGATGTGTTTGAGAACGGAAGCCTTTTTTTTTTTACCAGAGTAAAATGTATTCACAAGATGCCTCAGCCTGGCTCAGATTATCCCGGCTCTCTCACACACACTGACCCGTGATAAGTAGCCCACTTCAGAGGTATTTCAGCCGTGCCAGGGTACAATTGGCAACATTAAGCGGGGTAATAATCATGAAAATGCACCTACCATATTGACTTCAGAGACCATGTCTATGCTGGCTATGTCTATATTCATTCCCACGGCCACAGGCGCACCTGTGAAGGAAAGGAGGCATTAACACAACATACATAAATTCTTTTTATCATGTAAATTTAACAAATTCGTGATGCGCGCTCAGGTTCCTCTCTGCTCCCCTCCACCTACAGGAGACTTGTGCATCATCAGCCCGAGCACCAATATATATATATATAGCCCATATATTCATATTTAACACGCAAATGAGTTTAAAATGCTGTTAATTTAATCTTTTTAGTGGAATAATCAAACATTGATGAACAGGATCGATCACGTTAAAAGCCTGTCTTATCTCCTCATCAAATGAAATATGCACATAATTTCTCGTAGCCTAATTGGAAAGGCCTATTTGGCTGTGAAGGGATGATTATGTAAATTAAAGCAGATTTTGCGAGTCATTAAACATGTATTGCACGTCAGGAGGGCGTGAAAACATCACATTCCGTTTTCAATTTGCTCGTTACCTCCGAAATCTGGCCTCAACCGAATGTCGTATCCTTTCATCAGTCTGTCCACTGTTTCTTTTACCAGAGGCATATTGCTCGGATCTTTGATATCCTTGACGCTGGGGAGAAAAAAGGTGGTGTAATGCAGAATAGCTTATTAATATCACACGCCAGGCACGCTTTGACAGAGGCTACATTCAAGACAGAGGACAAAAGATGCAAAAACAAGATTACCTTTGAGCCCAGACGAAAGTCACTAGTAAGGAAAAAGTCAAAATCCCAAAGTGGTTTTTCCTGATCCTCCCCATCGCAACAGTTTTTGAGGCGGTTTCGCGATGCGAGTGAGGAGAGCGCACATCCAACTTACTCCAGACGGTGCAGAGGAGCCAATGAGCGGCGCATGCGTGCAGTCAGCCCAAGATCAAAGTGTGGAGACTGATGATGGTGGATGAGCAGTTTCCATTGCAGAGAAAAATATTAAAGGGACAAGTGGTTGTGCGTAATGAAGAAACCAGGAGTTCATTTTAGGCTCGTTTTATTCTTGTGTTTGTTACATGGCAGATAAGTTTGTCTACATCCTGACAAGGTCAAACGATGGGATGCACTGCAGGGTTAGAGTGATCAAGTTAAGATCAAGTTTATTCCTTCAGGTTTTATGTTACTTGACGTATTAAGGGGCTAAAAGACAGTAAAACTGTATCCATTACAGGTAGACACTTTATGTACAAACATCTGTGCCCAACAATCATGCACCATCCATACAAAAACTCAAAAAGAATGTCATCACCACCCATGGGTATTATATCCTACTCTTCCCTGCAATGTTTTCAGAGGACCTGCAGTGGATCTGAAAATGCAGAGGGAGCACCAGAGCGCCAGAGCAGAAAGGTGGGATGGAAAACACAATCCCACAATTCATTTTCTCAGGTTTGAGTACATTTTTGAAGCCGCGGGGAGGGATGCAAGCCTCCTCTAAATTGCCTTTGATCTTGTTGTAGTGGGAGCTGTGCTTCTGTAGAGGGCAGGCTTCTGAAAGCATTGGTTCACTGTTGCATCACCACCAGTTACAGCCATCATAGATTATATCATCCACTTCTTTTTGATGTGTTTCTTGGTTGTGTGTGTGTGTGTGTGTGTGCGTGCGAGCGTCATGCATACTGTATGTGTGTGGCGTCTGGTCTCAGTCCGGAGCCCCGAGAAGTTGTTGTGTGTACACGGCAGTGCTTAAAAGTGATTGAGGCCCGTCAAAGGCAGCTCTTCAGCTACTGATCAGAACACAAGTGGGCAGTGGTCACAGCCTGTGAAATGAATAGATGTATGGCAGGAGAATAAATCAGTTTCTGATTCATTTCCTCTGTCAGATGTGACTGCTGAGAGCTTGTTCACAGAGACAGAGAGGAGGGTAAGGTGAGGCTGACTGGATGCTGAAGGTCTCTTTGGCTGTATGTTCCCCCCTTTTCCAGGTCCTCTTAGTTTTTAAGATCTGCATCCCTGCAAGAACAGAACACAGCACAGCACAAAAATGTGAGAGGAGCATTATACAGGAACCTTTCTCTTCCCACATTCAGAGACTCTGCCTCTGCAGTATGCTGCACAGCCTAAACTGCTACTGTGCTCCCTGTCCTCTCAGTGCCTTCTTCAAAAGTATCAAGCGAGGGACGTGGAAAAAATATGTAAAGGGTAAAGATGTGCTGCAGATGTTCTCATGCTCTCTATCTTGTCTCTCTCATTATTCTGCAGAACGTTATAAACCAAAACAACCACAAAAATTCTCTGACAGGAACATGAGAAGCATGATGAGCAGATTTGCACTCCCCAGTGTTACATAACATACCTCTCTCTCCCCTCTGTCTCCCCATCTCTCTCTGTTTTTTTGCACTGTATCGCTCTCTTTCTTGGACATGGAGCTTTGTTTTTTACAAGTGGCTCACTTATAAGCGGGGAAGTGAATAGTCATTTTTTCAGGTACTTAAATTACAAAGCTCTGGTTTATTTTGCCTGTGAGACCTGCTCCCCATGGAGTTTCCAAGTTGTCATTAAAATGACCCTCAGGTAAACCTTATATAAAAGAGGAGAGTGCTTGATGCACATTTTTTCTTCTCAAATTATCTGAGCACCCAGCCCTTTTTGTATTGTAAATCTGTGATGGTGATAAAAGCCACAGTGCTGGCGTCAATGCAGGAACAACGCCACCTAACATCATCCCCCCCCCCCCTTTTCGCCTACAACTCCCGGGGCTGTTTCAGCATTAGAAATTATTGATGTCTTTACTGCCTAGATAAAAGTCTTTGACAAAAACTGTGGGTAGTTATTGTTCCACTGAAGCTGTCATAATTAGAGCAGAGTGAGACACGTTTGTGGCTCTTTGAGATACAAAGTAAGCATGCATAAATATCGTTCGTCCATTGTCTGTTCTTTTTTTTTTTTTCCTTTTTACCTCATTCGTACAAGAATGCTGGATGCCCTCCAAGTATGTCTTCGCTATTTTTACTGTTTTGCATGAAAGGCTTTTGGGATCTGCTGCCTTGTCACGCAAGACTCAAAAGTTTAAAACTCCAAAAGGGAAGCACATTTGTAAGACATAAACCTGGGTAAAAACATTGCGAGTGTGTATGTTCATGTCAGGGGCCATACCCAAATAGTAGGGCTGGGTCCTCCTGGGAGAAATCTTCAGGTTTGCAAAAATAAAAAGTGTTCCTGTCACAAAGACTTTTTTTCAAGTTCAGTATTTAGTATTATTCAGCTGAAACAATGTGAGGAGGTAATCTTTTTCATAGGTGGAGTTGCAGCTAGATATTGCTTTGTTTTAGGGAGTAACCAGCCAAAATGGTCGGGACTTACCTGTTGCACTCTCCACTACCTAAAGTGGAAGAACAATTAAGGAAGGATTATTGTCACAAAATCCAATGAAAAGACCAATTCCAGCTTTCTATACTTTCTAAGCTTCCCTGTCAGTAACACTTAGCCCAACGCTCATTAAAAGACATACATCTTTCAAAAAAACAGGTCGCAAATATACATATTATAAGTTTATAACCTTTTTTAAAGTAAAATGCTTAGACTGCTGGGTACTGTAGCTTTTATTAAACATTACTCAAACAAGTGTAAATACAGCACTTGTTGTGGACTATATATATTGAATATATATATATAGTCCACAACAAGTGCTGTATTTACACTGCAGATTAATACACATTTGGCGCTCAAGTGAGTATTTATGGCCCCAGGACAGAGTACGGTGTGTGAGACTGACTCAAAATAAACAGTGTACATGTTGATAGAAATAATGGCAAAGGTGTGGCTCAATGACATGTTTCTGGACCTCTGGACCTCTATGGCACAGAGGAATAAGCTCTAATCGGTTTTGCCTACACTAACAATGCTTGCTATCAGGAACAATAGATTGTCAAACCCTTATAGCAACACCAAGATACATGTAAATGTATTAAGATAATTAAATGTGATTAACATACCTGGCCATCTCCATGGTGTCCTTGACCATGTAGATGTACCAGTAGACTAAGTTGAAGAGGGCGAAGGCCAGGGGGAAAAGGACGCGGGCGTACTTGTCGATGGGGCTGGTGCCAGCCAGCTGCGGGACTTGAGGAAAGGCTGAGCCCTGCTGGAGGAAAATCGGCAGTGGCGGAGCATCTCCTGGCTCACTGCGACTCACTGAGTGGTTTCTCCTCTTCAGGCCTTCCTGAGGGATGCTGTCAATCTGGTGCAAGGGGAGAGGGGTGATTTGGAGGAAAAGCAAGAAGAGGTGGGGTTAGAGCTAGTTTTTGTTGTTTTTTTGCTCAGTGAGAGAAAAAAGCAAATACATGTATGGTGATTCTAAGATGTTTGTATCATGTTTGTAAAGCTGGAAGTAATATTTGTTCCCACATGAGTTTTCTCTCAATGGCATGCCCACTTCACTATAGAACACAGTAGGTAGTTTGCTGGATGCCCATAGGATGGTTAGGAGATTATGCAGGGAGGAGTACTGGAGTTGTTCTCTGTTCTCACACTGAGGCTATTTTTAAAGCATCTAACCATGAGCCCTACATGTGAGACAGATCCCAGGAGGATGCTGTGGTGGCTTACTGTATTAGCATAAAGCATATGGCTAGAGATGAACAACAGCACATATTACTATTTAATGTGTGTCGTGCCCTGCATGAGAAGAATTGAAGAGGCAGGGTGACTACTTGGAAATGCATAGAAAAAGACCTCCTATCTGTGGCATGATTTCTTTTTCTCTACATCTGTGTCTGGAGCTGCTGGCTTCCTGTTCATGATCAACATCACTGCATCAAACTCTCTGTGAGGAGACTGTACTTCCATTCATGATTATTAGCTATGTAAATGAATTTGATATGCCACATGATATAAATAACACTCCTTCTCCAAGTGATATTATAAGATGATGTTGTTGCTTTCATACCACGTTTAGGAAGACAACCTACTATCCTAGAGTCAGTTATTATGGCAGCAAATCTGGCTGTACATATACATATTTATATTTATCCCTGTTTATAACCAAGAACATGTTGCATTATTGTTCTTTCTGATCATCACTGCAGACAATCATGTTGTAATAGAAAAACATGTGGATTGCATAGAGACCAATTTCTAACAGGTATTTTTTCTATTTTGAAAAAATAGTTCAACATTTTGGTAAATGTTGAATAATACACTTTTTTTTATCAAGCATTAGACAAGACAATTCCACTCTCAAGCCTGTACGCTAAATATGTTGCTAGAGCCAGCAGCTGGTAACCTTAGCTTAGCATTAAGACAGGAAACAGGAAGAAACAGCTATGTTAAAGTAAGCTAACCGGCTGCTAGTGGTTCGTTTCATATTTACTGTACAGACATCTCTCTTGGCAAGAAAGCAAATAATCTTATTTCCCAAAATATTGAACAATTTCTGTAACCACTGAAATTTACAGTACTGTGCAAAATTTTTAGGTGTGGCAAAAATGCTGTAAGAATGCTATCAAAAATAGACATTAAAAGATTATATTCTTTACACAAAAGATAGTTCTTATGTCATGATCCTGTCCTGAGTTTCTCTGTGAGTTTGTTTATTTGTCAGTTCTGTATCTGTCATTAAGGTCTGTTGTGTTGGGTTTCTGTCCTGTCTGTGGTCTTGTATCCAGTCTTCTTGGTGTGTGTGTTTGCGTTTAGATTTGGCCCTGTCTGTTTATGTCTTGTGGAGTTGGTCTTTGTGGTTGTGACTTCTGCTTGTTCTGTGTAGTGGTTCTGCTCTGATCAGTCCTGTTACCTCAGTGTCTGCCTTAGCACTTGTTCAGTTCTGTTCCTTTCTCTCATGTGTTAGTTCTGTACCATCATGCTTGGGTTCTGTCTGTTTGCTAGATGTCAATTTATGTTCTCTGCCAGTTTCATTAATTAATCTGATTTTGATCATTCTGCTTTAGTCTCTGTGTAGCCTTTATTATTTTATTCATCCACATCTTTAAGTTACTTAGTATCTGTCTTGTCTCGTATCTTAGTTCCTAGTTCGGTGTCTTAGTTATTAGTCATGTACCTTTAGTTCATGTCTTAAGTGTTTACTCCTGGTCGGTTTACTTCTGTGTTGTTTTGCCCATGTCTACTCTGAGTTCTGTTTAATCTTAGCTTCAGTCTTTGTTCCTTGTTGGTGTTAGTTTATTTGTGATCTGTCTGCTTGTGTCTGTCTTAGTTTATTTATATTACTCTGATATGTTTAGTATTTTGTAACATGTTTTCCCCCAGTAATCTGCCTGCCTGCCAGTCTCTCTGTTTTTGCCCTGCTGTCTCTCTGCCTGCCTGTCTGTTTTCCCTGCTGTCTGCCTGCATTGTTAGCCTTGATTGCTGTCACCTGTATTGCTCCCGCCCTGCTCGTTAATCCCTGGTGTATTTATGTTTGGGTTTTCTGTTCAGTCCCTGTCCAGTCATTGTTGTATGATGTGTGTTCTACCATGTTGGCTATTGCCAGTTACCAGTACCTGTGAGTTTTGTTTTGCTTTGCCTGGTGTGTTGGTTGTGAATCGCTGCTCACAGTGTCGTGCATTTGGGCTCTCACCTGCTTTGCGCACGCTCGACCTTGACATCTTAATGACTTTCGCTGTATGTTTGGGGTTGTTGTCATGCTGCAGAATAAATTTGGGGCCAATCAGATTCCTCCATGATGGTAGTGCATGATGAATAAGTATCTGCCTGTATTTCTTAGCATTGAGTAGGCCATTAAAGGATAATGGTGGAGCTTCCTTGCAAGTTTGGAGCTGCTTTTCTGCAAATGGAGTTGGATATTTGGTCAGAATTAAAGGATAATTTCTTCACATATTTGGTTTAAAAATTACTAGTAGGTACAAAAGGCTTTTATAATCTGTGCAGACAGCAGCCACCAACTGGCTGCAGTGGCTGCAACGTATTTGTTTTCCATTCGCAATTACGTCCACAAGTAGTGCTTCTTTTTGCTACTAACAGGATCAAACCAGGTGTCTGACAACATCATGGAAAGGATCCCTACAAATGACTACCAGTAACACCCTCTGTTTTGAACAAGAAACGGAAGTCTCGCACAAGGACAATTCTCAAGTTGTTGCAGGAAACGTTGGTGGAAACAAGAGAGAGGAGTTTGTTGTGTATGTATAGGAATTGCGAGCAAGACTTCATTTCCTAACGCTTCTCGAACACAACAAACTCCTCTCTCCAACTCTGACTCACATTTCCACTGGAGTCTTTCTGCAAAAACACAATACTATACTCAGGTTTAAAAATACCGAAATAATCTTTTAATTCTGACCAAATCTCTAACTCCGTTCACAGAAAAGCAACCCCAAACTTGCAAGGAACCTCCACCTTGCTTCACTGTTGCCTGCAGACACTCATTCTTGTACCACTCTCCAGCCCTTCGCCAAACAACCTGCCTTCTGCTACAGTCAAATTGTTCTGATTTTTACAGTTCAGATCAGTCCAGAGCGCCATGCATAGTTCAGTCGCTTGGCCTTGTTTCTTTGTTTCTTGTGTCACAGGTAAGGCCTTTTGGCTGCAAGTTTTCCATGAAGGCCACTTCTTTCCAGACTTCTCCCGACAGTAATTAGGTGTACCAATGTCCCACTGTTTTCTACCAATTCTGAGCTGATTCTTTGTGCTTCTTCAAAAGAGCTTGGACAGCACATCTGGAAACTCCCGTCTGCCTTGAAATGTCTGCCTGGGAGAGACTTGCTGATGCAACATGACTACTTTGTGTATTGTTGCTGTGCTCCGTCTTGCCATGGTGCATGACTTTTGACAGTAAACTGTCTTCAGCAACCTCATGTTGTTACCTGTGTTTGGTTGTTCCTCACCCAGTTATATTCCTCCTACACAGTTGTTTCTGTTTCAGTTAATGATTGTGTTTCAAACTAACATGCGTACAAAATGAATGTGCAATGAATTTATCCTTCATTATCAACATAAATTCAGAAGCTCACCGAAATTGTGTCGCTATCTTCGCTGCCAGTAGCCAACACCTCAAGCTTGTCTTGTCTAGCTTTCTGCTTCTTCAGACGATGGGCCTGGATGGTGGCAAAGTAGTTTACTGCTGCAAACTCGATGAGAGCTGACGCCACGAAGGCAAAACACACAGCAATGAACCAATCCATGGCAGTGGCATAGGCTACTTTGGGAAGTGACTGACGGGCACTGATGCTCAAGGTGGTCATGGTCAGCACTGTGGTGATGCCTGGAGGAAGACAAGCATTTATGAAACAAAGAAATGGAGATGTATTATAATATCAAACATGATTAGCACACATTGATTGGTGGGAGAAGGGGCATACCAGCAACTGTGCGTGCAGGAACAGACTCTTTGTTGATCCAAAAAGAGACTTGTGACAGCACAACAACCATTATAAGAGGGATGTAAGTCTGTATGAGGTAGTAGCCCAGCTTCCTCTGGAGATAAAAATGGACCACCTGCACAGAGTAGTGACCTGCAAGATAAACAGCATGTGTGAAGAAAGCAACCCCTGAGGGACAGAGTAGGGTAGAATAGAATGAATGCCCTTGTCTGCCCTTGAAACAGAATAGCTGCTGAGGGAGAAACATATAGATATGTTGCTGCTGTTAGGACTGGACTAGCCAGCTAACTGTAAGACAGCATGTGAGAGACAAGAGGAAGGAAGAGAGGAAGGGCAAAAATGAGGAGGGAAGGAGGAGGGAGAACAGCAGACATTTGGAAATAGGATAAAGTCAAGAGGAAGGCGTGAGTGAGGAGGGGGGCAGGAGGAGATCATGCAGTGTCACTGTGCGCATGCAGACATTCACAGACGAAAAACATGCTGCATCATGCACACACACACACACACACATATATATACAGAGGTTCTCCCTCTCTCTCTCTCTGGGTATCTCTACATTTTGGAGCCTGCCTCGTCCTTTTTCTCTATTCCAGGAATCTGCTGGGTTCACAGCAGGGGAGTACTTCTGCTTCTGGTGAAAAGAGAAAATGCACACACACACACACACACACACACACACACACACACACACACACACACACACACACACACACACACTACTCCATCCTTCCTCCTCTCTGTCAGTGCATTCACTGGGCTTTAAACCCCATAGTTCTTTTTTAAGGCATGCATTAGGCCTGGCCACTTAAGCATCTTACTGTAGAAGCTGCTCAAGGAAGTCTTTGCTTTTTATATCAACTCCACTGTGGCGGTGTAATGAATTGCAGAATTTGCAGAATTTCCAGAGACTCATTTGAGCTCTGTCTTCTCTTAGATTCATCAGCTCATGAGAATTTCTTCAAATGAACCTTCTAACTTTGGGTACGACTGTTAAAGGTGTCCTTATAAGACGAGCAATGTGATAGCTGACAATGAGAGTTACCTGTGTTTGATTTGAATATCTCACTGGACAACGTCTGTCCCACCAGATCATACTGCAGAAGACTCATGGACTCCATGGGACACTCGACAGATGCTATCGGTCCCTTCCTCCAAGTGAACATGATTTCACTGCTTGTATAGGCATCTAAAAATGCGGTGACAGGAAAGACTTTTTTACAAACTCAAAGGTTAGACACATTTGTGAATTATGGATGTTATTATTCCTTCTGTTTTTGAGCACATGTAATACTTACAGCTTCCAAACCTGAGAGGACAGGCGTGGCCGTCCATGGGGAAGTCCATCAGTCTCATTGGACACTCTGCGCTTATTGTCAGTCTAACAGCAGGAGACAAGCCTGAGTTATCCTTTCATATAAACCTAATGTCCTCAAAAGATCTTGACAACAAAACAATAACTGTACAATGTAGGATCACCTCATGGTGTAGAGGACAGTCCCGTTCTGCATGATGCGGAAGAGTTTGTTAGGTGTGGTCGTGTTATGAGAAATGGACTTCCTGGAGTTTCTGAAGAAAGTGTCTGGTGTCCAGATCTTGTCCACCATGCGATTGTTGAGCCGCAAGATGTCAGTGTGGCCCTCAAATTTTAGTCGCTCGTCAACCCACATCTGACGGAAGAACATGTCCATGGTGTACTCCTGACACATGAACATAACCCGTTATATCAAGTAAAACTTTGTGTTCTATGAACCCTATTATCCTAGCTTTAAACTTAGATCTTTGTCCACTCCAAACACTTAATCCCCGTCATTCATCAGCATGCATAATAATGTAGAGCCATTTTAACTTGCAGTGGAAGGTGAGGAGAGATGACGAGGCAATGATGGATGCCACTCATCCCAGATAATCATTAATCAATCCATTCAGCCATTCCCTCTGTCTGACATGTTGTCATATTGATTTAGAGGCCATCAATAATGGAGTTATAGGGCTGGTCAAACAGATTAAAGCTCATTAGATGGTCTCATGGCAGATTGCCCATAAGGCAGGCGTTCAGTGGTCACTGAAGCACTGTTATCTCCTACAGTTAGCACACATACATCTCCTTACAGCAGTAGTAGCTTACCATCTCAACATCTGAAACGGGTCCAAAGCTAGTGACAAAGATGTCTGTTTTCACCTCGGTGACACCACCTGCAACAGTAATTTGAAAAATGCACAATAACACAAGATGCACACAAATAATCCAGCGCAATGTATGTACTTTATCTAATAAATATACAGGTACGTCTTTAGACAAGGCTAAAGCCTTGTTAAATCCTAATTTAACATCTGAATTACCTCCAGATCCAGGTCGCAGTCTGTTGTCATAACCATCCAAAAGTCGATCCAGAATGCGAGTGATGTTGTCTGAATCAATCTTCTCATTTCCACTTACATTACCAAGACTGCAGAGAAACAAAATTTAAAACTTCCAGGCTTATTGTACTCTGACCCATGTTCAAGCAGAGAGGAAAGACTTACCTTATCCAGCAGATAAAAGTAACTAGATTTAATGTCAGGACAGCCATCCTGGGCAGCATTTATCACCAAATTTGCAGTCAACTCTCTGAGAAACTCATTCTTAAAAAGAATAGTCTGTGAGGGCAGTGAAATAATTGTGCTAGCGTCTTAAGAGTTGTTAAAGTGACTGGTAGGTATGCATAAGGACACGGGATACACTGAGGCGAGAACAGTAATCTAATTAACAGATTAGTAAATGCGCTCCATTTTTAGACAAACAGTGAATTTTGGTTTCCTTTACAGCCAAAGTAAAATAACGAAAACAAACAAAAAACCAAAGCCAATGCAACTCATCAGTTTACACTATGACAATAAATTGCTGCGTGTGTTTTATGAGCAGTTTTTCTTGTTGTAGTTCATGTTATCAGACAGCAGATGGCGGCACAATGTTGTTCACAACCGGAAGCGAAATCCACGCTGAAAGGAGAAGAAGTTTCGAGAGTGTGATGGACAGAATAACAACAGTTGATGTGAGAAGCAGTCGATAAAGATTGACCGAGTAGCGAAATGTTAGCATAATTTCTCTGCCAGCCAGATATAGTGTAGCTTGCTAAGGTAGCTAGCTGGCGTTAGCCGACCAGTCAGCCGGTTTGAAGCCGCAGCATGTCAGTGCACTTCGAGGAGAGGAGCGGTGTCGTGCCCTGCAAGACACCCTGGGGATCCTGGTATCAGACCATGGACGAGGTTTTCATCGAAGTCAACGTGCCTCAGGGGACGTGTGCTAAGGACGTCAAGTGCCTTTTGGGGACCCGAGACATCGAGCTGCGTGTCAAAGGGGACGAGATATTCAAGGTAAGCTCCTGAAGTTAAGCTTTCAACTTCTCTCAACTGCCAATCATCAATAGATAAAGAAGAGTAAATAAAGAAGAAGATCTCCTTAACGTTACGTTTTTTGAATCAGTTTTGTCTGCCTTTTGGTAGACAGAAAGTAAAATATGTGATTCATGAAGTCCATCCACTGTCCAACAAACAACATCTGGTAACGTTAGCAGAAGACTACTTTGTGTATACATGTCACATGAAATACTTTTCAGTTTTATAATGTATAACTTAGTTATAACCTTTTTTATACAGTCTATGGTTATAACTTGCATTTAAAGTGGGAGTGTTACTTACGGCTGACATTTGGACATTTCAGAGCAGGAAAAGCCAAGGCTTAATGAGTAACATTAATGATGGCTGTATTACGTTCAGGTGAGCCAGTGCTAGCTCACTGGAAAGGCCTCCTGCGACAAGTAATGGAACAGAGCCATCGTTAATACTGGATGTCCCACTGGTGCTTTTGCTGACTTAACAAGTCAAACTATCTGCTGTGAAAAAGGACTGTTGTCCACATATAAAGTCAGTCTGTTCTTAATTCAGTACAACACCATTGCCCATGTCTTCGTCTCCTTGACCAGATTAACACCATGGATGATAACTCACCAGAACTTTAAAATCACCATTCATGCAAGAGAAAAAAAGGAGTTGCTCAATTTTGAACGATATGTGATAATATAGAATGTGAATATATAGACACATTAATCTCATAATCTCTACTTTGTGCCTTCTGTCAGGGAAAGTTGTTTGACACAACTGTGTCAGATGAGGCTACATGGACACTTGGTAGGTTGTATACCTCTAAGTAACATTCTCAGACTTGAGTTGGACTTTATTGTGCAAAAGCCACTGTTATCTCACTCCTTTTTAACTTTTTCTCTGCTTAGAGGACAAGTGTCTCATCCAGATCATTCTGATGAAGACTAACAGAGAGGCAGGGAACTGCTGGTCCTCCCTGCTGGAGGGGGAGTACTGTGCAAACGCCTGGGTCCAGGACCAGATGCAGAGAAAGCTCACACTGGAGAGGTTCCAGCGGGAGGTTAGTTTGACCAATTGCCATCTGAAAGGTTTTGGTGTATGTTGCCAAGATATTTAAAGTTATCAGAGCCACACCTCTCTCCATTTAAACATGGCCACAGCCTTGTAAGTTTGTTATCCAGGGGCTTATAAGTTGTAACAAATTGTTTTATAATTTACTAATGCTTTTTTAATGAGCTATAGCCATTAATGATTACACATTTTGGGTTAAAAAGAGTTCAAAGATACAGTAGTTTGGGGGAATTTTACTGTTTTTCTCACTTTTATTCAGTCACAAACTAATAAATTGATTAGAACAGGCATTTTTATGTATTTGGTTAAGTTATGTCAAGCAGCAATATTAATGATCTTGGCTCAGTTGTTGTGTGTTTGTGTGCTCAAATAACATAATCATGATCCCATAAGAATGGGGGTGGTGTGGTGTAGCGATGTTATGAGATGAGCAAAGCAACAGCAGATGTGGACTTTGTCCCTTCACACTTGAACACTGCTTCTGAAACTTAAGTAAAAGTTAGTGGAGGGAAGTCAGATATGAATTCACCCTTAGAGCATCAGATATTTTACAGTGTGAATTTGTAAATTGTATGCTAACAACAGGGTTCCTGCTTATGAATTAATTGCACTTCTTCTTTGCTAGAATCCCGGATTTGACTTCAGCGGCGCAGAGATCTCTGGGAATTTCGCTGGTGGCGGTCCGGACTTTTCCAGTTTACAGAAGTGACTGATGCCATGATCTCAAACCTGTTACATGTTGGAGATGTCACTTCTACCCGAACACTACTGAGGACATCCAGAACATGCAGAGGAGCAGCGTGTTCATCAGCTCTCCTGCGAGAAAAACATTTGCCTTCAGAACTGAGCGGTTTACCAGACTGTTGTTAGACAGAGACACTTTTCACAGAGCAGCCCCGTCTGGTTTCTCTTGGCTGTGAGGGACAGATTTTATTTAGGCCTAATTTGGCAACTTCATGGGAACTGTTCTATCTGCTTGTAAGAAGCCTGTGAGATGGGCTGTTTTTTAATAATAAGAATGCACACAGCAATAGCTTTTCAATAAAGTTTTATTGAAAGGTTTAAGCACATAGGTTAACCAGATGGTGTACTCAATTAGCCATTCTGAACACATTTTTATTTTAGTCACTAAAACAAACTTAAACTAGACAGGGAACCTGGCAAATAAAAATGCAATCCACATTTCAATCCACATTTCCACTGCAATGATGTTTTTTTGTGTTCTCTGCATAATTGACATAACTGAAATCAATACACATGGTGCTTCACTCTGTGTACACAAATCAAGAATCTGTGAAAACAACTCATCTGTAACTGCTGACCATTTCAGCTCTTATAGTATGGTTAGCCATACATGACGGGACTAGCCTTCACTGGAGAAAACCAGAGCTCCTTCGCCATATCAAAACAAAATAAAAAACATCGTCACCTTGGGTAGGAGTGTGCATTCAGGACAGTTTAGCAACCTAGGGTGAGAGTTAAGGATTTTGGGCCCGATTTCTTGGTTCCATTTTTGCTGTTCACAAAATCCTTCTCCCTCCTCTTCCACATGGTGGACTGAGGACCTAGGTGGTTCTATACTTATTAGCTTAAAACCAGCAACCCGTTCCAGGAAATACCAAACACCTTGGTACGGATTTAAACAAGAACATACTGTACACTTGTGCAAGCAACTCAACCAAGAAAGTAAAACTTAGCAGGATGGTAGTGGATGAACCTTTCTGATGAAGCATTACTCCTGGTCATTGGGGCTGATAAAATACAGTGCGCTTGATCATTGGATGACAAACAAACAACCTTGGGGGAAAACTGTAACATCTTTAGCTTTTCCTTAAAGAAATCCACCATCACAGATGAAGATCTGTAAGGAAAATAACAAGCTGTAACGATGGGGAGACCATACTGCAAGAAAGTCACCTTAAAGTTGCATCCAATCAGAGAAAAACGATAATTTGGGGACAGCTGTAATTTTTCACTGCATGTAAGGTCACCCATTTGTACCCCCAGGTTTAATAAGCTGACTCAGGTATGGTGGGAAGATGACTGATTTTGTAGTAGCTGTGCTTCAGCTGTCGTGCAGTTCTTCCCGAAATAGTCCAGCGAAGCCTGTGGCTGTTAGGCCTGGAGCACTTGGTGGTAGCATATTCAGCCAAACATTTTCCAACCAACTCTCGCACACAAACCAAGTCCCCGTCTCTGATCTGCAAGAAGAAACATGTGGGGGGAAAAAAAGAAGTAGTTAATGGATATCTGTTCCATATCTCAGTGGTAAAGAATTTCATAACATTAAGCAACCTTTGGACTCTAACCAAACAAAGCTACACCAAAACTACTTAAAACCAAACATATTACTTTTGAGTTTTTCCAGTGCAGAACATATTTTATGGTGATAAGAAGTTGGTAACGGTTGGTACTTACGTTCAGCTGCTGCTGAAGACTTTTCAGGGCGTCTGGTATTTTGTCAGTGTGCTCAGGGTCATGTTCTTCCTGGGCCTCAAAGCACAGGAGAGCCATGGCAAGCAAAGATGGCTGCAGAGAAACAGAGATTCTCAATCACATAGTAAAGATGTTTTTTAAAAAAAAGACACGGAAAACAAGAAAAGACATTTAGATAGTGAAAATGCTCAAAACAGATGGCCTACTTTACTCCAAACTAACACTACAAATGATTACTATACAACATAAA